CACAGAAAGCCGGCAAAGTTTTTGAGAACTCTCCTCGCTTAGTTTTTATTTTAAAAATTGATTATCTACACACATTTTTTTGCTGAACTTTAACTGATTTGATAGATCCTATCCTTTTTTTTCTGATTATTTCATTCACTAAATTGTTCTTCATCTTTAGGATTTGCCTTCATTTATTAAATTGAAGGTGGACCGAACGAGGATAGTGCCCTGACCCTTGACCTTAGGTGTCACCGGGAAGCAGAAGGATTGCTGACCTCGTACTGGGCATTGGCTGGTGCGCTTGTCCTCCAACCTTCTGAGGTCAGCCAGCGCGCACACCTTTCAAGTGCTGTGTCATCTTCCCTTTTGCATCTTTCGGGTTGTACGTGGATTTCAAAAGAAACTTGAATTGAAACTGTAATTTGGTTAATATCTTCGTTCTAAGATCATTGCAGACCGAGGGGCTTTGAACAGTATCAAAAGAATGCTTGCACTTATACTGTCATGGTAATAATATCAAGAAGTTCTGAGGGTGTTAGAGTGAGCGCCTAAAGCAGGACTGCAATAGCCTAAAGGCAGTTCTGAATAAGGTGAAAACTTTTGTGATAAATATGGTGTTCAGTAGGCTGAGCTCAATTACGATAATCATTCATTGCCGTAAGCATTGCACTAGAACACGTATGGGGGCTCAAAGCCATGTAAACAAATTATATATTTCCTTTTACTTCTCCTACTGGTGGAAAGATCTCCCTTAGCTGTGCACTCCTTGTCCTTGTTTCGGCGAAAATGTGGCGAGGTGAGAATTCGTGGCGAGGCTGCACACACACACAATTGGCCCGTCCTGTTGGCTTTTGGATCGAGTTCTCAGTCCCTCGCGTCAAACACGACGAGAACCGAAGATCACTGTGGCCTAGTCGTTCGCATTATCGTCGCCCATCGTCCAGTGGGTGGTCAGCTGGACCCGCCCACGTGTGTGGAACTGCCGCAGCTGACCTCGACGAGCGCTCTTGCGACGTATCCCACTATTGATTGCTATACTGAAAGCCGGTCTATCTCTCAAGTATTGTGGACTTTATTGGTCCAAATAGCAACTCTTACATTGCCATGTAGAGCCAGCCATATATCATGTGACAGCTAACCTAATGACAAACCTAATTTTCTTTTGGAGGAAAAAGTTGTACTTTCGTAAGTGCAGTTTTTTAACCACTTCAGCCTTGCACTTCTGGAGTTCACTACGATTAGTCCAACCGTATACTTCCAGCAAATGCTATATCCTGCTCATTGTTTCCTCAGATTGTGTTCGTGCGTCATCCAGTCGTGTATTCTCACTCTGAATACAATGTTTGTATGATTACAACGATAAATAAGCACTTGACACATTCTTATTTTGTTCCTTTACAGTGATTTGGGTCTTAAATCCATTTTTCAAGTAAAGTTCACTCTAAAATTTGAATAGCTGACACTCGGAGAAGGTTTAGTTTTATACGTGAATTTCGCAGTTGATATATTGCTTTCGACTCTACCATTTGTAAGCTTTTTCAGACCTTTTGCTTAATCTTTGGTGCACAAGTACTCTGTTTTAAGCTCGGTTCAAAATCAGTGGAATTTCTTGAATGCGACATTGAGTCATTTGTTTAATGGAATCGCTACGATCATTGCCGCTCTCATGTGAATTTTTTAGGCCTTCAAGCCTTCTGAATTCTCCTTGCACGTTCCACAATTTTGATTCGTATTCTTATAAGTCAAGAAAAATAGGTAACATCCCAAGCTGTCAAACTTGATAGACACTTTGAAAGTGATTGGTAGTAAGTTGTCGCCAGTCCATTGGCATGGGTTGCCTCGAAACCAACCACGGGTTGTAAGGGTGAGAAGTGTTCTGTTATGTATGAGCGCGTCCTTACGGGGTTTCTGTGTCATCGCGTCTCGTGTATCGGACAGCGTATGATATATGCTACTAGGTTCGGGCATCGCATCCGCCATTATAATGCTTGGATTTGCGTCTTGTCAACTCGTACCCATAAAGTTGCAAAAGATTCAGCTACTATGAGAGGGACTGCCTATCTGAAAATTACGAGTTCATCGAAGTTGGATTGTCTCATAACGTCTTCATTTCGTACCGTCATACTTCTTCTTTTGATACGTTCTCATCCCAAATCTGTATATCTTTCTACTCAAATTTCTTCATCAGAATTAACGACTCAAGATCGCCGCCTTTGATGGGCCGACGGCGAATCACAACGGGTTCAACCAATTCTCCATGCTCAAAAAAATCGAGTACACATGGTGAGTTGGAGTATAGAGGCTAATTTCTTTCACCTCAGAGTTTTCAAACCTGTTTCGGATTTGAAGTGGATGTAGGCTGAACAGTGAGGGACTTTGTCCCGTTATTTGTGCATATCGCATTCATAATTTTTATAAATCTGAACAGAAGTATGCAATTACTGTTAGAGGAACTTAAGCATTTGCAACTATTGGTGAGTTCTTAATGCTTTGAAATGTTGAAAGCTGACAATCTTGATATCTCTCTTTTCAAAACACATTGGAAAGAAACCAGTTTCCTTCAAAACGCGGTTCATCTCTGCTCTAATGCCTAAATTTTCCGTAAATGCAAAATCTTCTGAGTTCATGATTGCGACAAAGTCACGGATTGATTTAACTGTAAATGAAGCCGTGCGTTGTCGAAACTTTTCCTGTAGGCACAATTTTTCAAAACGGGCGTTCTGACAGCTTACATTTAGAGGCAAAATACCATGCATATTGTAATCTGTAGGCTTCGTATCGATTCGTTTGTCGGTCTGTGTAGATGTGTGATGGCTAAGCGGAGTATTAGCCCTCCTCCATCCACTCACGGCGCTGTCTCTGTTGTTGGCAACGCTTTTACTGTTAGTTATTCCGCACTGAGGCACGCTGGAGCATGAAAGTTCCTCGTTCTTTCTCAGAATCTCATTTTAGTCCTTTTCCTATACTAAAGTGGCATTAATCTCGCTGGGCGGCGGTGCCTTTTTTTGCCTTAGTCCACCCTCTATACTTTTTTTTCCATCAAAGTTCAGAATAAGTGCATCATGCCAGCGTTCGTCCCTCTTTTCGTCATCTCAGCTATAGCGCATATTTGCGGAAACAATGATGAGCGAAAGCGTTCCATTTTGACGGCATTCAATCTCGCGAATGTATTGTTCTTTGGCATTTTCTCTCCGTGCAGTATGGCATAGTCATGATCACACCGAGGAAATGTCGTAGCGCTTCCTCTCTTCTTCCCAGCAGATTCTTCTCTCAGCTCTTGACATCACAACTTCGTTCTCCAAACCTGAAACAATCAAAACACGTTGTTTACTGCCTTACTGCAAACCAATAGCAGCCCCTGTCACGTAGGTGTTTCCATACACCATTGTCGAGCGCTCATTGGCACCAGTCGTTGAGCACAGACATGCTTTTAGTCAGTGTTCCCTTGAGTTGTATCCTTTAGGAGCCGCTGCAGCGTATTTTGGGGTCAATCCACGTATCTCCAATTGACCTTATGAGCCATCCTTGGCCTCCGCCGCTCATTAACGACACTCCTTCATGGGTTATTCAAATATCATGCGCTTACTTTTTCTAAGTTAGTTATTGGAGAGGTAAGGGCAGTAGTCTTGCTAGGTTCTACGTTCTGGCATAGTTGATGCTCTTTCATTACATTAACAATAGAAGGATCCGCCTTTGTTCCTAACGTATCGATTTATCGCCTTTCCACAAACTACAAAGTCAATTCCGACGCTCTAAATATCACAAAGCGGCATACAATTTAGTTAGATGGTTTAGCCGAAACAAGTAAATAGACTGGTGTGTTTTATTTCAAGAAAAGAAAAAGAATCCACCCAACTTTTTTTTTCGAAAGTTAAGGTGACAGTGCTTCTTTTCTTCTTGTTCCATGGAAATATCTGATTATCAAACTTTGTTGGTGGTTAGCACTGAAGATAGGACGCTTGTAGAAATGCTTTACAGTTTTTTGTTTCGTTCATTTCAAACTTCTACAGATTTTTTCGTAGTATACATGGTCCCATAAACCACTTTGGCTCCAGCATGTAGTGCGGTTTTCGAACGATGCTTGCAAATCAAGTTCATATACGATTTGACTTTTCCTGACACAGTTCTTCGTTAAATATATATTTGCAAAGTGCAGATTGTTTGAGTAATCCTCCAGCTTACCCATTTGTACTAA